GGTCTGTGATTCGTTGACTAAAATCGTCGATAGTGGGTCTCGTTGAAATCTCGTTACATAGGCATCGGCTCAGATGTAGGTAGGGCGGAATTAAAAAAAATCACAAAATCAAAATCAAATCAAAGTAAAATAATAAAATAAAAGGGCATTAATAACAAATATAATAAAAAAATAAAATAAAAATAAGTTTATAGCCAAAATAATTAAAGCCCGTACACTACATCAGATTTTAATCAGATTGGGTTAATAGGGGGCATTTGATATCAGTTGCAATCAAATCAGAAAGTTTTGTAATGGCATATATTCATATTCAAAGGACATTAATACTCCATAAAACATTATTACAAAAGTCTGCACCAATGACGTCATAAATTCAGTGGCATTGATAATGCTATAATATCTAGATTAGATTACAAGTAAGAAATTACTGGTCTGGGATTATGTAAACTACAAATTCTGATTCTCATACCCTAAATATTAGAGAGGGACCCTCATCTTATAACATGACTGGTAACGTTTGTAATAACAATACCAGTTCCTCTCCTTATTGGGAGTTGCTATACGAAAATGATAACATGATCACTGTATTGTTTGTGATAATTTGTTTTGTATGCAATAAATAATCATCACCAATTGGTTTGTGGTACGGTATCACACTTATTATATGGGCTGTTATTGGGACCATCACATTTGCTTGTCGTGTTCTCATCATGTTTTTTTTAAAAGGCTTATTTTGTTTCCAACGATAATAAATATTAAGAAAATGGACTTTCAGCATTTTTATTGGGGAAAAAACAGCTCTCAGGCACCAGAGAATAATTCCTGCGAACTTGCAATGGCTTTAATCTTTCAAAGATATGTTGAGGTCTCCATGTCATATTTTGAAGTAAACACAGTATTCAGTTTGCTATTATTTCAAAATGTACGTATAGTTATTTAAAAATTACTGAAATTGCTTCTCATTATCTTGGAATGAAAGTAATTGCCCTGAAATTGTATACAGTCGGAAACAATACCATAAATGAGTGTGTGGAGTGTTCTCTGCTGGTGTTTCCTGTTTTCCTGGAAGAATCAGTGCAATATGGTGTAACTGGATACCATGCAGATTTTTAGTTGTCTTAAAGATAATTTCTTGGTGTGGCTATAAATTCCACAAATGTTATTTCTATTGGTAATAAACTTCGATAATAATAATAAATTTTGAGGTTGCAATTGGAATATAATTTTGTCTCATTAGTAATATTATAAACAGCCTTTTTAGCAAATTTTATTCAATGCAAGAATTAACAGAATCGTAATTTAACTACCAACAAGTAACTACCAAGTACCAACAATCTTATTGTGAGAGTATATTTATTTTTAATTTAGCTTCGTCTTGAATTAGTAAAATTATTAATTAGCTAAATTAGCTTAAATAACTTTCTAATTAAAAAACATGTTTAACAGTAGTACTTTATTAATTAGCCATTTGATAATTTCACTTTGCATTCATGTGTATATAATTTTCAATGCGATATTCTATTCTATTATTTATTAATATGTTAAAGTTAAATATTGAATGTGTTTAGTCATGGACATGTATCAATAAATTAAAATTATTTTTCGAGTTGACAACCATTACATGGACTCCACCCAGCACGTGACTAAAATAAATACATTGTATGACCTCTGAAAGGTCACACATCCTGGTACTTTTTAGGATACAATTTCAGCAGTTTTGTTTACCCCCAAAATGCAAGCATTTGTCATTGAAGTTCAAACACTTTTTAAAACAAAAATAATGTATGTATTTTATCGGAAATGATTCACGCAGAAAGGACAGTACCGGTACCAGGATTTAATAAGACCTACATGTATATATTAATGTTTTAACAAGTTAGATCTTTTTGAAAATTATTTTTTTTAAATGCCCTCACATTTGCATGTACATGTACATTAATTTCCAAATATCGTATTTGCTCCATGAGAAGTGCATCTCCAGTACAAACGTGTATAAGCCAAAAATATGAACTTATTTTGACCATTGACATGCTGTGAAATACTTTATTTTCGCTGAAGGAATGATTTAGTGAAAATAAAATCCAGCGAATATACCTTTTTTCCTGTATTTTACATTCAACTTTTCAAAAATCAGTGAAAATAAATCCCATACAAAAGTCTTTTCAGCAAAAATTAATAAAATAAAGTATATTATAGTACCTCTGTCATTTATGTAAGCACAAATACGGTAAATGTATGTATTCAAAATAAAATTGCATTTTTTTTGCTACACAATATTGCATTTACATATTAATTTTGTTTTTTAATCTTTTTGCAGATATTTTCCGGATATAACAAACCCGGTCCCGGTTAACAATACACCAAGTCTCAACATTTTGCCAAAATATGCACCACAACAAGTAAACAACCTCAACAAACAAAATGTTGACAACTATATGAAAAATATATCTTTACACGATAACACAGATTATCTACAACGTTTTCAAGAGTAAGTATTATTAATACTTTTACATCAGTAAAATCATTATGTATCTATTTTCTCATTTTATCATCACAAGTAATATTTCATGGTTTAAAGTTTACTTACATGATTGTGTGTGCTCTAAGTCAACAAATGTTCTTAACAATACACAGTCTGTAATAGATTTATTGAAATGGGGTGAACTGGAATACAACTGTTTTGTGAAATTGCTGGCTGGTGAGAAACTTAACAGGCACTATAACCTGCTTCCTGCCAGCCCCATGTACTTTTACTTTGACTTGCCCAGATAAGGTTTAAAAATATCAATATTTGTGTCAAAAATATTAACTTTCATATTTGTGTCAGACTTTGTTTGTCTTCCTAAAAGTTGCTAAATTAAGAAAAAGGGCTTCACCTTTTCAAAATTTGACTTGTAACCGTCATCACCATCATTATTGACCCTTTTTACAGCACAATCAATGTTAAGCACAGTGTATAAATTTGTATCCCCTATCCCTATTTCATAGAGTTCATTATTCAATGTTTGATGAAACAAATCTACTTTGGCAGGTCTTCTAACATGAATGACATGAATTTCCTACCGAAAAGGAGTATAGTACTCTATCTTGATGCTGGCATTTTTTTGAAAGATATAAACTGCTCGATAAGTTTACCCTAGAGATGTTCTAAGATTGTATATATAAAGTTTGTAGACTGCCTGACCTGACAAGTTTTCAAAACCAACATTTATAAAATATAATTTATGAAGTGATTCTACTTCTCTTGTGTAGAGGGATGACCAATGCAGCTAAATTACGATAATGCATATTGTAAAACACTTATAAATTGACAGTTTTATTGCACGCAACTAGCAATTGCTACACTCAATCACTTTTTCACACTAGGCAATAGTGCCATGTTAATTATTTAAATCTATGGTATTTTATGAATTTATATTTGTATGATTTAATAAATTACTGTTACACCCATATCTGGCGAGAAGTGTTGACATTACTTTTTTTATCATGTTGTCATTTTTGATAAATTTATAATGGCAGTGCGTTTAAGTCAAGCTGTGCTATACAAATGATGTATTTGACCTCGCCAGTTATACACACATACTTTCAAATGGTAATTATTAACAGGAGTACCAGTTCAAAACTTGCTACAATAGGATGTTGCAATAAAAATCATAACAACAAGTTATAAATCTATATCATAAAAACAAATCCAGCGTTTACAGGTCTAGGCACTAAACACACAAACAATGTAAGGCAATAAATTTTCATTTTATCTGAGCAGTGACTGGAAAGAAAGGAAGAAAGAAATGTTGTTTATACTTCAAAATTATGTGTATCAAAAAGATTATTGGGCATTTTTAAATAATTACTTAAAATAAAGTGTTGGCTTTTCAGAATACAAAAATATGATGAAATTAAAGCTGCAAGCTGCATCACAGGGGCCCAAGTATACATGCCATAAATAATGTCAAATGATACACATGATACACAATTTGTTTGAATGATTAGTACCATGAGGTCGAAATGCAGTTGGTTCCATATATTTATTTGAGATATAAAAGTTATTAATATATGGTCATCTGTTATTTTAA